GCCACCGCCACAACGCTTGACAACTCTTCTCCCCTCCCTCTCCTATCCTTCTCGCTCGCATGGATCTCTAACACATTGCGTCCTCTGCTGCTGCTCAATTCTTCAGGACAAAGCCATTGGCATGTGACCCGACGAGCTTGCCCAAGCTCCCGCCGAGCAAGGAGTACAACGCCAAGCTCCGCGGCAAGGAGGCCATCAGGCAAAACACGACAGCCATCGGAGGTAAGGGCTCCATGTCCGTCAAGCCGGGGAGGAACGAGCCGTCGAAGGCGGCGCCGGCGCAGGACGCCATTGGAGGAGGAGATCACCAGCGCGTGTCTGGTGCACCTGAAGAGCGTGAGCCACCACTACAGCTCGCTGCGCCGCTGACTCTCCGTCGTGCCTGGAGAGAGGAGAGAGAGATGAATAGAGGGGAGATGGGGAGAGGAGGAGGAGGAAGAAAAGGGATGAGAATGACATGTGGGGCCCACATTGGCCCCACCATTTTTTTAAATTTGTGTGAAACTGACATGTGGGTCCCACGAGGTTTATCAGGATCGAATAGCCACGTCAGATCGAGACTGAGTCAAATTAGCCACGTAAGCGCCGCGTCAACCAAAACCGCCATCGAAACCGTTGAGGGATCTAATCTGTACCGGTTTTGATAGTTGAGGGACCCATTATATCTGGTCTTGTGGTTGAAGGACGAAAATCGGATTCGTTGACAAGTTAAGGGACCCTAGATGAACTTATTCCTCCACCGTGACAGGCCTAGCCGCTAGGCCCACATATTCAGCAATTCAGATAGGCCGATCCAACCGCGTACGAAAGGACAAGTACTCGTGGTGTCTGTCGTTCTCTTCTCTGATCATACCAAAAGGACAAAAACTTGGATTAGTGCTGAGCTGGCGCTGTTCAAACGCGCAACCAAGCAGATGCCACCCAAGCCAAGAGGAAAAATCCAGGTATAACTAGGGCCTCGTTCATTGTGAACATTATTGACCTCTGCTGTCTTTGCAAGGAGCAGGTGATGCTTATAATTTAAGGCGCCGTTCGGAATTTTTATTCGGGACTCTAGCAGAAATGAGAAACGTATTTATATTTTTTTTATTCTATCAGAAATAGGACTGTCTCCAGTGAACTTGGTTGTGTTCGTTCGAGATTGGGAAAACCTTTTCCGACACAAAACAAAACGTCAGATTATTATATAATTAAATAAATATTATCTTAAAAACCACAAAATTAGATTAGTATAATTTTTAAGTACTAATGCACTGTTTAGCAGTCTGCGGAACACGCACGTGAGAGACGGAGGGGGTAGAAGTTGGAAAAGTGTAGGATAGAACTCAGCCTTAGTGAAGGCTGATAAATTCACACGTTCCAAAATGGCCCAAATTGAACCTAGTTGGGAGTAAATAATGAGTTGGACTGTAATTTGGAGGGAAAAAAATAATGCGAATGATGCTGGATTTTCGTAATTGGATTTCCGCCGAAATGGAACGGTGCAGGCAACGTTGCCAACCCATCATCATCATCACTATCGTCGTCTGTGCATCCTTTGGGGTGTTTAAATCGGATATACAGACTCATATTTAAAGTATTAAATATAGGCTAATGACAAAATAAATTATAGATTCCGCCTGTAAATAGTGAGACGAATTTTTTAAGTCTAATTAATTCGTCATTAGTAAATGTTTACTGTAACACCACATTGTCAAATAATAGACTAATTAGGCTTAAAAATTTTATCTCGCAATTTACCCGCAAACTGTATAATTAGTTTTTTTTCTATGTTTAATACTCTATATATGTGTTTAAATGTTTAATGTGACAGATGTAAAATTTTGCATAGTAACTAAACGTTTAATACTCTACATCCTCCTGAGACGCAGCGCGGGCTGTCCATGTCAGGGAATGTTGAGTTAGTTGTGATTGGTCGCTGGCGTGGACGCCACAGGCCCCGCACCTAAACATTTCTGGCACGCATCGCATCGTTCGGTTCGACCCGCAGCCGATTCGCGCGCCACGTACATACCGACTCGTCGATGATACGAGAGCCGTGTTAGGCGCTGTCAGCGCGTGGCCCCCACCTCACATGCATGCTGCTCTCCCGCCTTGTGGAATTGCCGGGCCCGTCTGACCTCAGCCGGTCAGCAACCGTTAGAGACGGAGCTATGAAAGCCGATCAAAAAAAAAAGATTAGGTATAGCTTATTTTCATCACACGTACATTTCTAAATATAAACTTAAACATCCACATCGGTTTAAATTTAATCTAAATTACAGTAAAGTAAACGAGTGATACCGCTCTTCACATCTGATAATTGATGTTACTGTTTACTTAATCATCATCATTAACAACAGCAGCAGCAACCACAATGCTAACACCCTTATTGATATACATATACAAGCCTGAGAGATTTCAAACAGGAACACACCCAAATGCTTGCTTGATAAACTAGACTTGGTTAACTAGGCTTTGTTGGGCAGTGCAAATTGGGAACTAATCTTATGCACATAAAATAAAATACATGGTTAATTAAGTGTTAGTTAAAACCCTTAAAATAATATCAATATGATTTTTACCAACTTTATTATAGAAAAATTTTGTTAAATATACATCATTTAATAGTTCAGGGAACATGCGTAAAAAAAATGAAGGAGTGAAAGTTAGATAAGGTGAGTATCGAATATACATCCTTAGGTCATCACCAATGCGTAGCCTCGGGTCGTCCCCTCGCCGACGGATGTCCAGCTCCGTTTGCCCGTCGTCCCCCCACGAGAGAGCGCGTCCCTCAGCTGGGAGACGTGTCCCTCGGTCACTTTTGGCTGACGGACGACACGAAGCGACGCGTTAGGGGCGATGGGCTCCTGTGGACACCGTAGCTCCACCACCAAATTCCCCTTTCACCCCTCTCTCCCCCCCCCCTCTCTCTCTCCTGTTCCCCTCAAGGTCGAGCCGGAGGAAGAGTAGGAGGCGGCAGCAGCTGCCGTGGTGGAGGCGCGGCGGTGACGCTAGAGACGGGGAGGACGAGGGTGGAGGTTGGGCGAAGAGGGAGAGAGAAGCGGTGGCGCACCAGATCTGGCGACGACCCGCGACATCAACGGGCGGAGGGACGGCCGCGCCGTCCTCCTCGTCCTCCTCCGCTGGTCAGAGTCGGAGCGCCGTGCCGTCCTCCTCCGCCGGCGCCGCGCCCGCCACCGCCGGCCCCATGCCCGCATCCGCCGGTGCCGCAAAGAGGGAGAGAGGCCTTGAGCCGACGATGGGAGAGAGAGAGGGTGAGAGGCGTGGAGCCGGTGACGGGAGGTCGGAGGCGTCGAGCCGGCGGAGGCGTCGGTCAGCTCCTCGCCTCCTCGGTGGATGCCACACGCGGTAGATGGGAGGGAGTAAATGAGGGGAAGAGAGAGAGGGGGGAGGGAAGAGAAGGGTAGTATAGTAAAATATCTACATGTGCTTTTTGGATAGGGATACTGAGGGGAGTTTCCCAGGGAGTACCCTCAGTTAGTGAGGGCACCCATAGAGTATCCCTGATTAGTGATGCCCTTAGGTTTCATTTGGCAGTGCTGCTTAGATTATCAGCAACATGTGAAACTATACGAGCTATTAATGTAGATTAATTGAATATTAAGCATCACATACATACAAAAAAAATATTTGATTTTTGAGAGAACTAATTTTATGTAGAAAGTATTTGAAATAATATACCGCTTAATAATTTAAAAACCGTACTCACCCTATATACTCCGTATGAGCGAGTTATCAATCCAATAAGCACTTTTACTGCTTGAATCAACCACAAAATCTCTGATTCCATAAAGATGCCCATAACTGCCTGATACAGACAGCTGGCGTACGAGATTATGAGCCAAAACATTTTTTTTGTCAAATGGCATACATTAAGTACTACTGTTAGGGCCAAGATTAAGGGACTAGCTTGGCTTAAAATAAAACGGAGAGAAAGAAAAGGAGGTATACTCCAGCTGCTAGCCACATGATCACAGCTTGTGTACGTACGTACAGGCCGTCTCCCGTGTTTCAAGGCGAGACATGCTTAATTTGCTAATGGACTCGACGCGTCTAAGGGTTACTCACTCCATTACTTTGAGACAAAGATTACTTGCTCGATTAGTTTATTAATTAATGCCCTAATCATCCAACTAACAAACGGCTAAATACAGTTTCAAAAGCAGACGAACCTAATTACGAATCACAAAGAGAGATGCCTCACATATACATTTGTAATCATGATTGGCCGGTCGGCGAAAATGAAAAAAAAAGATAATGTGTATCTCAATTTCTGTGTGAAATCATCAGAGATGTATCATGGAGAGGGCGAAATGAGCTATAATTGTTAAACTAGGTGAGGACACCCACTAAGCGCGTCGGTATGGTTCGATGTATGCACGTTGCGACGGGGCCCTCACTACTGATCATTCTCACAGATTCAGGTCTTCAGGACAGCTTAATTTGTTTATGATAACTCGAAAGACAAAAATATTTGAGATTATTATCGAATACTTGTCATATTTGATAAATGTACTATGTTTATATTGAACTCATTTTAAGTTTAACAAAGTCTATGCGACCGGTTGGAAAGTAGACAACGCATCTTGTAGTGAGCCTATTCAAATGCCAAATTAAGGAGATTCTGCTAGTTCCTTGAAAAAATAGAAAAAAAATAATCTATCTTTCTAACATGGGTTTCTTTTCGATTTCAATAGAAAATAAACTGATTCATGTTAAAACCTTCACACAAAAAAAATCACATTATAAAGGAGAAAATCCCAAGAAAGAAAAATTGAATTGTCAAAGTCGGATGAAACCATGTGTTCCCTCCATGAAACCCGTAATGGAAGGCAACTCAGTTCATCTTTTTTTTCCCCTTTGGCCAGTTGTTCATCATCACCGCTGGTTCGATCAGACGGACACGCAAACCAACCAAATCCCCGCGATCCCAGCCGTCCATTTCCCCCACAATATTCTATTCCCGCCCTGCGACCATATAGCCCACCTCCCCTCCTTCCTTCCCCGCATCAAACCTCTCCTCCTCGTCACACACCCCGTCTCGCCGCCGGCGATGCGCAGACGCCAATGACGACGACGACGACGACGACGAACCACAGCGCCAAGAGCATCCTCCTCCTCGCGCTCCTCCTCGTGCCGCACCTCGCCGCGGCGTCGTCGGGAGATGCGCTGATCAGCCAGCGCCGCCGCCTGCTCGACTACCACGGCGGCGGCGGCGGCCATGGCGGCGGCGACGTGTACGTGGACCCGTCGTACACGTTCCCGAACGCGCGGCTCCGCGACGCGTACGTGGCGATGCAGGCGTGGAAGCGCGCCGTCCTGTCGGACCCGCACAACGTGACGGGGACGTGGATCGGGCCCGACGTGTGCGCCTACGAGGGCGTGTTCTGCGCGGCGGCGCGGGACGACCCGCACCTCGTCGTCGTCGCCTCCGTCGATCTCAACCACGCCGACATGGCGGGCCACCTCCCCGACGAGCTCGGCCTGCTCGCCGACCTCGCCGTGCTCCACGCCAACTCCAACCGCTTCTGCGGCGCCGTGCCGAGCACCCTCGAGAGGCTCCACCTCCTCCACGAGCTCGACCTCAGCAACAACCGCCTCGTCGGCGCGTTCCCGGACGTCGTGCTCCGGCTGCCCAGCCTCCGGTACCTCGACCTCCGCTTCAACGACTTCGAGGGCCCCGTCCCGGCCGAGCTGTTCGACCGCCCGCTCGACGCCATCTTCCTCAACTCCAACCGCCTCCGCTTCCGGATCCCCGACAACGTCGGCAACTCGCCGGCGTCCGTGCTCGTGCTCGCCAACAACGACTTCGGCGGCTGCCTCCCGGCGTCCGTCGCCAACATGTCCGGCACGCTCGACGAGATCATCCTCATGAACACCGGGCTCAAGTCCTGCATCCCGCCGGAGCTCGGCATGCTCACCGGCCTCGCCGTGCTCGACGTCAGCCACAACAGCCTCATGGGCGCCATCCCCGGCGAGCTCGCCAGGCTCGAGAACATCGAGCAGCTCGACCTCGGGCACAACCGCCTCACCGGCGACGTGCCGGAGGGCATCTGCCACCTGCCGCACCTCCAGAACTTCACCTACTCCTACAACTTCATCACCGGCGAGCCGCCGGTGTGCATGCACGTCAAGGCGTTCGACGATCGCCGGAACTGCATCCCCGGCCGCCCCGACCAGAGGCCGGCGGAGCAGTGCCAATTCCAAAACACCCACCACGTCAACTGCGACGCATTCAGGTGCAAGAAGTTCGTCCTCCCGTCGCCTCCGCCACCGCCACCATCGCCGCCGCCGCCGTCTCCTCCACCGCCGTCACCCTCTCCTCCACCACCTTCACCTCCTCCTCCATCTCCACCACCACCATCTCCATCGCCTCCTCCACCTTCTCCCCCGCCGCCGTCTCCTCCACCACCATCGCCATCGCCGCCTCCACCATCTCCACCGCCTCCATCTCCTCCTCCGCCATCGCCAGTGTACTACAGCTCGCCGCCGCCGCCGTACTACGAGGTTTCACCGGAGGACAGGTACCTCTCGCCGCCGCCACCTCCGGCGTACCACGAGGCGCCGCCACCGCCGTACTACGAGGTGTCGCCGGAGGACAGGTACCTGTCGCCGCCGCCACCTCCAGCCTACCAAGAAACGCCGCCGCCGCCGCCGCAGTACGAGGTGTCACCGGAGGACAGGTACCTGTCGCCGCCACCTCCATCACCGGTGAAGTGGAAGCTGCCGGTGTACGAGTACTCATCGCCGCCGCCGCCGGCAGCAACATGGAAGCCATAAAATTAAAATCGATTCTTTCGGGATTTTTTTTTTCACACACTATGATCATACATATTGTTAAATTTGTTGTATGTTGAGTAAAAAAAGGGATGCTAAATCTTTTCTGTTACTACCCCTCCTTCCTGATTTTCTTTTGCTTGTACTGTATGTATTTTTCTTCTTTTATTTTTTTCTCCTTCTTTGAATGAACAGCAGGAAATCTGCTTTTCCTCCCATTGATTTGCTTGATTTACAGATAATCCATTGTGAACAAATGGCCATATTCTGATATACATAGACAGAAATGAAGAAGAAAAGAATGAGAGATTTTATATTCTCATTTGCATTATGATGGTGTCTATGAGTTGGCAATATTATCCTAGAAAAGTTAAGCATATACTAGTACTGACAACTAAATAAGCATTGGATTCTGCTAACTGGAACAGCTAAGATTCTGAAGGCTCCAGAAAAGTACAACTAGCAATTTGAACACACTGAAGAATGGCCAACAGCTTCATCCTCTTCAAAGGTTGCCAGCAGCGACGCAATGTTCTAAGCAACAAAGTCAGCAAAAGTTAGCATAGCAAGGGAAGTGCCGGGGACCATGTAATCTGTTAGGCCAATTTGTTAGAAGTCATCGCATCAGAACATTCATCTGCATGATCTCTCTAGTATGATAGCAGCAGTATTATTGCATTGGGACAGGAGAAGTTGACATCACAGGATAAATGTATAGGATATATAGAACAAGAAGATTTCATCAGAGAATGAGAAAAGAGCAGGAAAAACATTTGCCTGGCCGGCCATGCATTCAGGTTGTTGGATGGAATATTTTCAGGACCAGCTCAGAGTAGTATCTGCATTGATATCTATCGTTGATGGAGTGTATAATGTAAGTATGTAATACAGTAAAAAAAAATGGAGCTATTGTACTTGTACTGTTCAGTTACTTCAGTACATTTTTGTTTATCTCTGTGTTGCCGTACAGTGTACTACTACAATGCAAAGGGTGTCACCGGATTCGAACTGTGTTGATTTGTTTAGTGCAGAGACTTAAAACCGTTGATTTTGACTTAACCCACGTCTTGCGCTTGGCGCGTACTAATTAAATAAACTAGCTGGATGATTCTAAAAGAACTTCGATAGATAATCGCCTACACGAACACCAACGTGCATAGAACTTTCGTCGCTGCCGCCAGCTGCAGAACAGAGTATGCGCTGCACGTAACTAATTGGAAGAAAAGAAAATTATCTTGCTGTATGGGAGTATATGAGTATATATACGAGTGTGCATATGTTCTTGCTTTGCAGGCAGACATGCAAACTGTCAGGCTAATCGATCCCTCTCACTGCACAAACGTTGATATGCAGAAATCAGAATCCACCAGTTCTTGATTTACTGACCAATCAAAAATGACGATCAAATCAAGACTGCCCTTCCAAACAAACAAACAAGAAAAAGTTAAATCAAATTCAAATAAGGGGATCGAGTATGCATGATACCAAAAGAAACAGAGAGAGAGAGAGAGAGAGACAAATGAGTAGATATGCAGAGAGATGGCTGCCTCTTGCCTTGCAGGGCAAAAAGGCAAGCAGAGTTTGGCCGTCCTGGCCTGTGAACGAATGAATCATCTGATTAGGTAGTAGTACCGGTGTCTGGTGATCATGGCGCCGCGAGGATGAGACCAAATGGTTAGTAGGAGTAGCAAACGTAGCGAGCGATGACCAGGCAACAAAACCAAACCTCCCAATTTCCCAACCAACCAGCGGCAGCGCCGGCGCGCATGTGCGGAGGTTGGGTTCGCATCGCCTGGTGTTTTTGTAGCCTAGCTAGTAGTTCTGACTTGCTGCGCGCGCACGCGGCGGAGTCGCCGGCGCCGGCGCGATTCCATCATTGGGGCTTCGTTTGCTGTTGCCCCTCTCTCTCTCTCTCTCGCCGTGGCTCCGTCGACTGGTCGGTGTTTTACATGTGCGTCGTCGAGATTTTTCTTTTTGTACTGCCACGACATATATATTGGGTAGCGGCAGTACGTCGTTTTGCTCGGTCGGGCGCAACTAACAACTGCCGATGCCATCCATGTGAGTGTTTGACCTCGCTGAAGGTAGTGATATTCATGTGCGACTATAGTATTTATTTTACTAGTGTGCTGAATGTGCGGTTGTATGCTTTAGGACTTTGTTCAGTCTCGGTTGCCTGGAACTTGTTGTCTATGTTGGATCTTACCGTGTGATTGTTGGTTTTTTTTTTTTTTGAGAAGATGATATTCTTCTGTGATTGGGTTACATTCCCTGTCAATCAAATATGGGCCACCTTGTTCGTTGGTTCCTGCTCGGTGTGGGCCGTATGTGGCCCTTTGAGAGTCCAACTAGTACTTTACGCATTCGACAGTAGGAATAAGTCCATTTTGCCTCCCTCTATTCTTGCCCTTTGTCGAATTACATCCCTCAACCACGAAACCGGGTATATTATCTCCCCTAAATGTTAAAACCAGTACAAAACAACTCCCTTGGTGGTTTTTGACAGTGGTTTTGTTGACGTGGCATCCTAGTCATCGAAAAAATTTAAAAAATACGTGAGGGCCCACATGTAAGTGGCATTTCTATTCTTCCTCTCCTCCACCACTCTCCTCTCTTCTTTCCCTTCTCTCTCCTCGAACAGAGCAAGGCAAGGAGAGGCGCCGGAGGCGCGGGAGGTGTGGGAACCGCCGAAGGATGTGGGCGCATGCCGCGAGGGAGAGGATCGCCGGCCGCGGCGCCCGCACGGGGAGGGTTCACCTGCCACAGCGTCGATCTGCTCGGCCGGCAACGCATCCTCCCGCTGTCTATTCGCGCCGCCGACCTCCGGCAAAATACATAAGCTCATCAAGCTACCTTTCGAAGAGCATGTCATGTGCTGACTGTCGAGTGCAAAAGATTGAGCTTTCACCTAAAACACTTGGAGGGGGATAAACCGGCAACCATCCATGGAGCAGTAGGAGTAACAACTGAAGATGATCATGATCCATCCCAACAAGTCGCCGGAGCAAGTAGTAGCCTCTTTCGAGCTTCGACACCACACGAGGAAAAATCAGACATAAAAACCCCCATGAAGAACAACCCAGCAGTAACAAAAGCATCCCCCCTCCATTAGCTGCATGTCCCTTTCTGGAATTCTCCTTTTCTTCTCCAAAGAGACAACGTGAGACGCATGGATGAACAATTGGCGGTGCGCCTACTACTGCCCGGACTCCTCATCGGACTCGCCGTCATCGCGGTCATCCTCCCCGTCCTCCTGCTGCTGTTGATGGTGTTGGTGATGGTGGTGCGGGTGTGGCAGTTGACCAGTGGCACTGGCGCCGCCGACCTGGTGGTAGAACTGGCTGAGCGACCGGGCGAAGAGCACGCCAATGTGGCCGTCCTGTGAGTGTCCTAGCTCTAGCCCCGGCATGGCCGCCGCCACGTGGGCGGCGAACATGGTCGCGAACCCGATGTGGCACCGGCGAACGCCGCGGCGGCAGCCCACATGTGGTGGTGGTGGTGGTGCAACCTGGAGAGGGCGCAGTTTGGGGAAGGGAGGGAGGGTGCGACGGATGTCAGCGCCGACACCCGTCCCCATGGCAGTGACGATTGCCGGCTCCGCCTGCTGGAGCAGCCACTGGACGGTTTCACCGTCGGACTTGTGGCCGAGCTCCCGCGTTAGCTGGAAGATCCGGGCAGCACACAACGCCGGCATCCGAATCCGTTGTCCCTGGCCGTCCACCTTGGTGTGCCGGTCCTTGTTCGAGCTCCGCTTCGGCCCTAGCCCCTACATCCTCCTCCCCCCCCCCCCCGACGCCGCCGCCACCACCTGCATCTGCTGCTGCTGATAGCGGATCCTCTCCCTCGCGGCGTGCCCTCGCATCCTCCGGCGGTCCCCACATCTTCCGCCCCTCCGGCGCCTCCCTTGTCCGGAGAAAGAGAGAAGGGGGAGGAGAGAGGAGAGTGGTGGAGGAGAGGAAGAATAGAAATGCCACTTACATGTGGGCCCTCATGTATTTTTTTTAATTTTTTTCGATGACTAGGATGCCACGTCAGCAAAACCACTGTCAAAAACCACTAAGAGAGTTGTTTTGTACTGGTTTTAACACTTAGGGGAGGTAATATACCCAGTTTTGCGGTTGAGGGATGTAATTCGATAAAGAGGAAGAATTGAGGAAGGCAAAATGGACTTATTCATTCGACAGTATGTCCAATATGAACTATTCTGGCAGGGGAATACCTATGCATCTTTCGAAAGATTTTTATGATGATATCACACAGATTTTTAATCTTTAGATTAAAATCCAATAGACACAGTAGAAGGCAAAAAGCAACTAAGAAACACCATAATAGACACTAAATTGCCATATCTTCAAGAAAAAGACCAAATCCAATATAAATTTCAAAACTTGCATGTGAAGATTCAAAAATTACACTATAACTTATAAAAGTTACAATGTAAGTTTCATAAATTACAGTGTAACTTGCAAGAAAATACACTGTAAATTTGAGTGAGAGATAAGAAAAAATCTCTCGAGTGAGATATAGCAAAATCGTTCGGGGAGATGATCAAACTGAACCAAATTTGCTTCTATCCGCTAGTTATGTCAGCTAGCTTTTCACAGCGGTCAATTTGTTCCTATCCGTTGTCCGAACAGAGGAGGTCCCCCGTTGGTCTCGTTCAGAACACAATTTGTTGTCAATGCAGAGAAGGAGAAGAAAACAAATGAGCAGTGATATCTCTGAACTTTCGCTTACACATAGATAGCAAGCAGTCTAGTAGTGGACCAATCCGGCCTTCTGCACGCATACAGTCACTCACACGCTACTACGCTATCTTTACATGGAGAACATATACATATATTGCGACATAGAAGTGCATATGACATATAATTAGTGTGCACATGTGTGCATGCTGCTGCTGCATGCAGCGCTAGATTATTCGTTCGCAGCAGGTAGCGAAGTTGTGTGATCAGTTTTGTCAGGCGTGGTCCGGCTCACCAGGAAGAGCAGCGAGAACATCAGGAGGAGCAGCGAATACATGGCGGTCTATGTCGTCAGGTGGACTAGCGAACACTTGGTCCGGATCATGGTCTACGTCATCATGGGGGCTAGAGAACACGTAGCGGTGGTCCGGATCATGGTCTACGTCATCAGGGGGACTAGAGAGCACGTAGTGGCCGGCGCGGAGAGGCCTCGGCAGTCTGGCCGCCGCCGTGGTCTTGCAGCCGTCGTAGCACTGCCCGAAGCAGGCCTCCACGGCGCCCTTGCCGTCTGCAAAACCAAACCAAGAATTAGTTGCCGCCACTGATGTGTCACGATCAAATTAAAGTTATTGCGTGCTTAGTTACCCGGAAGGAGGCGGTGGCAGGAGCCCAAGGCGCAGGAGAGTTGGCACTCCATGTCGCCGGCGAGGCGGGACGACGACGACGACGAGTACAGCGTGGGCTTGTCCGGCTGGCACGTCTTGTCGCAGGCGTAGCTGCAGTAGTCGACCATGTTGTTCTCCCTGGCCATGCAGTCCTTGAAGCAGAAGTCGTAGCAGTCGGCGTCCGCGCCGCCGGCGAGGAATGTCAGCGCCACCACCACGGCCACCGCGCCGAGTGCAACAACTCGTCCCGTCGTAGTAGCCGCCATCGATCGCTTCCAACTCCGGACTTCCCTGCCACGATCGATGACACCGGACGCTGCGGGCGCCGCGGATTTTGTAGCGCGCGCCGCGGGCGGCTGATGCTCACGCCGGGCGCGTGGGCGTGGGGGAGCGCGCGCGTGAAGGCGAGAGTGCAAGCAAGCGAGCGAGAGAGCGAGCGAGTTGGTGCTTCGATCGAGTGGGCGGCGCCGCGGTGTGTGCGTGGGTGTAAGCAGTGTGTGACGCTTGCGGGCAACGGGCAGCGGCGCGCAGCGGCAGCGCGTACGTTTGTTGTTGCGGGCGGTTGCTGTGTCGGGGTTGGTGTGCCGTTGCGTGGCTTCGATCGGGGAGGGAGCGCGGTTGCAGCCTTGCAGGGGCGGAAGGCGTGATATGGGCGGCCGTTTTCGGTGTAACGTTAAAATTGTAAGGCGGTGAAGGGATTGAAATCTTGGATTACGGAAAAAAAAGGAACGTGGAGATCTACCGGCGAAAACAGAACAAACTCAAGAAAATCGATGGCTACACGGTACAAGTCAAATTGAGGATTTGCCGGTTTCCTAAGCAACTGCCGAGCAACGGGAAAAAATCGTTTATAGGTGGCAAACAATTCCTTTTTTTCCCCCAATTGCACGGCTTACCCACACCCTCATATGCGTCCCGTAACATACTCTCAAAGAGGTAGATATTCCTGACTACGAGGATTTGAAACATAGTGCATGGAGTCCACCAGGACATTCCCAACCCAATAATTAGAATGGTGTCCATAGTATTAAATAAGTTGTCACCTAGAACAAAAAATGACATGGCAAGTGAATAAATGAGGAAAAAAAAGGAAACCATGTCTTGCATGAGACATGGTTTCTACATAACATCCAAGACATCATGTGAGATAAGTAGCATTAAATTAAAGTATGGAATAGTGGTGTTTGCATTGGAAGAGTAGTGTCTAGTACTAGTTTCTTGATAATGTGGAATTTATGGAAACCATGTCTAGTGTTATGGGTTGAGACTGCTCTCACCGCACAATTGGTGCTCCCTTGATGGCAAACAATTTATTTGGATGAGACCTTAAGTTCGGTCTCGGGAAAAAGTTATGGTAGTACTACATCACTCGATTTTTTTAAATGGTAGTCCTGGCCGGCATGTATGAGCTTTAGTTATGAAGATTTAATAGTTGTGTACTTGTGTTGGAGAAAACCTTGTACTCCCTCCCTAAAATAAATACAAGGCGTGCATGCATTTGAAAATGTCGTGTTTATTTTGTTTACTATCAATAAGCTTACAATATACTCCTATGTTTAGTGCCACATGAGTGGTACCGTTGGATTTATATTTGAATATACTTTTTTGAGTGTTAATTTTGTAGATGCCGATGATATATATGAAAGATATTAATGATCAAAGTTTGACAGTAGAGACCGTATCAAAAGATTGATATGCTTTAGGTTTCTCAACAGGCAAATAAAAATATGCAAGTCTGAACTCAAAATTATGAAGTAGGGAGGACACAAAAATGGACAAAGGCCATTGTAATTTTGATCCAACGGAAGCTATGTACTAAGGTGAAAAATCGAAGTGTTTAATATCCCTCCTTTCCTAGACCCCAAGCCATAGCCCACGGCAGCAAGATGAAAAATCAAAGTGTTTAATATACCTCCTTTCTAGACGTCGCGGCCATGGCCCAGATAATAAGTACCTCGACATATAAAAAACTTAGTGTAAAATTTAGATACTTGAGGTACTTTCTCTCTCGTTGCATAGTTAAATGTCTTCAGTTTATAAACCACAACCCAAAAGTGCCTTTCAAGCAAGCCCAGGCCCGGTCCTGTCAATTTAGTGGCCTAGAGTGAAACTAGAAAAATGGGCCCTTTAATACAATTATAATAATATAACGATATTTCTAATAAATTTAATGCATAAAAAAATATTCTTATAAAACAAGTTATATATCTTACCTTAAAATTTTCTTCTAACATTTACCGATGCGAAGTCATTGACGATGGCATCAATATCAATTACTCATCAATAGCTCCTTTTTTTCAATGTATCAAGTCCTCTATCCTTCTCTTCTTTTTTTCTTTTCTCACTTCCAGATGCGTGCTTTTTGGGCAACATGATTTCACTGTAAATTTAGAAATTTATAAGTAATTTATGGAAATTATATCAAACTAAATTCAATTCATCATTATAATAAAAATGAGTGCTGGTAAATTATCAAGTTGAGATTTGAGAGCTAGAGAAAATGACTATTCACTGCCCTAGTTGCACACTTGCACAGCTGGACTGTAGGATCCCTAAATCCCAAAATCAGAATTTCAGAAATCAGAAGAGAAGCAATTGAAGAGTAAAATTTGAATCCCAAACTTTAAACATATACACTTAGTATACATCAAAGGGGAGAGCAATTGGGTACCTCCAGTAACTGAACGGAGAGATTTGCATGTTGCAACCGGCTGCTGGCGGCCGCCGAGGACGACACCGTCGACGCGCCCTAAACCCTCGCCCAGTCGCCCCTCGGAACAAGACGAGGAACAGAGGAAGGGCGGCAGAACATAGAAGTAGCGAACATGAGGCGATGGCGGAAGGAAGCCAATCGACGAAAATTTCTTCCTGTACGTGTCTCTTCCTCTCCTGGGCTAGTTTGGGCTAATGGGCTTCCTAATTCCCATGGGCTATTATCTACAGCATATATGGGGTTGGGCCCCTTCACTTCGTGGGCCCTGTGCGAAGGCACAGCTCGACCCCCCCCCCCCCCCCCCCCCCCGGGCCAGGCCTGAGCAAGCCAAATGGACCACACAAACATGGGCTTATGGAGAAAACACAAACTAGGAAGCTTTTGGCGTTTTTCCATCTTAGTTCAATGGTATCCACAAGACCACAATCCTCATGTGTGCTCTTAATTAGATGTTACTGATTGAATGTGTGCTCTTGTATGATCATCACATGTGGTATATATCCAGTTGAATAATTCGTCTTATAGTTTTAGATGGATTTTCCATCAGAATGGCTTTTTCTTGGTGAGGTCTATATACCTAGCTTTAATTAATAATGGCTATATCAAGAGAAATAAGGTCCTGTATAGATGGGACTAAAACTTTTAAGTCCCTATCACATCGGATGTTTGAAAATTAATTATAAATATTAAACGTAGACTATTAATAAAACCCATCCATAATCTTGGACTAATTTGCGAGATGAATCTAATGAGCCTAATTAATCCATGATTAGCCTATGTGATGCTACAGTAAACATTCTCTAATTATAGATTAATTAGGCTTAAAAAATTTGTCTCGTGAATTAGCTTTTATTTATGTAATTAGTTTTGTAAGTAGTCTATATTTAATACTCTAAATTAGTGTCTAAAGACAGGGACTAAAGTTAAGTCCCTGGATCTAAACACCACCTAAGTGTATTTGGAAGCTTAAGTTGTCACTTAAAATTAAAATTTTCGTGTGGTACTTGCTTAAAAGAGTTGTGTTAACTAAGGATAATTTGGCAAGGCGTAACTGGAATGGCAGCTTGAGGTGTTCTTTTTGTTTGAAGAATGAGTCTATTCAACATCTCTTTATGAATTGTCATTTTGCGAAGTTCATATGGAGAGCAGTTCAGTTCTCTTTTAGTTTTAATCTTCCAGTTAGCATATCTCATATTTTTAATGGGTGTCTTTTGGGAGTTGATAAGAAAAAGAGTAAACTGATACTTGTTGGAGCTTTTGCCATTTGTTGGGCAATATGGCTGAGTAGGAACGATATGGTTTTTGATAAATCACCATCATTTTCCTATATGCAGGTCATTTTCAGGACAACTCATTGGCTCCGGTTTTGGGCACAACTACAAAGGTATGATGAAAATGAAGAGTTTCTGAAAGTTGCATGTCGAAAGTCGGAGACTACGGTTATGTAACTTTTTACTAATTATGGTTGAGGATTTACAAATCATATCTTACTATAAAGTTATCCCCCACTAACTCCTTAAGCTTAACATGCAAAGATGCCACATCATCATCCACTAACATGATGCCACATCATCATCCACTAATTAACAAGATGCCACATCATCATCCACTAACAATCATCACATTTAAACATCACGCAAACATACTATATCTTTATAGTTTTTATAATTTAAGAGCTTTTCAAATACAAACATGTTAAATTATCATCCAACATAATTCACACAATGTTTCAATGTATATCTTTATTATGTTTTATTATATCCTATATACTTATATAGTTCATTAAATGATTAATCTATGGTCCAAATTATCTTTCTCCTTTTTTTCTCTAATTAAGTCATATCACATCAATTGTTTTTAACCTTTAGATGATTAATCTATGGTCCAAACTATTTCCCTACTTTTCTTCTTCCATGAAGTCACACCACCTTACTTTTTACGTTTGAATCACCATTTTACATACTATTTAAATTTAAATTATCATAAACCACTTAATTTACTTAATCTGATGTTATCTAGCTATCTTACACGTTATTTTTTTTATTGTTATCATACTAAATTCCCGCAGTAATGCATGGGGTTTTACCTAGTAGACTTGAATAATTGTGATCACCTTAAGTTAGGCTGGATTCTTTGTTATTCTCTACGGTGTGTTCTATTCATTTGGATTTACACTGTCTTCTTGAGTGGTACTATGTAATAATTGGCTGTAGCTCTTTTGAATAAAGGCCGGGATATTATATTCCATTTTTAAAAAAAAATGTGGTACAAGGACAACAGGTTTCGTTGTTTTCTGCTAAGATTATCATGTCCCTTTTTATGCTGTAGGACAATAGGAGACATTTGGCATCCCTTATCTTGTGTATTCTTAGGAATTGGTAAGCTCGCAAAACTTTAAGGATGAAACTGGGTGTTAATCACCCGAAGATTAATGCATACGTTTCTTCGACTTGCACATAGGATCGATATGTATAAGTTTAATTTGGTCACATATAATAACGAGAAACAAAAAACCAAGATTACTAATCCTGGGAAAAAGAAAAAAATGATCGCAATTCAGTAATTAATCCACTAAGTCTCTGCAGTAATCCATCTATCTATTACTAGAA